GTAAAGATGTTGATGTCCCATAAATCCATTGATTTTTGTGATTCAATGGAATCCAAGTCAGAATGTTGACAGTGTGTTTCAATCGACAGTTTAGTATTGTGTTCTTATTGAATAGGTTGATATCACACGCACATATTTCGGAACTAATATTGTATCGTATGCGGACGTTGACACAAAGAAATTCCCCTTCCTTTATGGTCTCAAAAATACTTAAATCGGATTTCATAAGAGAAAAATATTGATCATGACGCGTATTACTAGCCAAAATAGCACAAAGATCAATTGCTCCTCTTTTGGAGCGATGCTCATGAAGTAATTTATCATCGAGTTGTAGTTCGGATTCAATACGTTTAAAGTGATTAATTGTACTCGCACATGATGCGTTTGGTTTTATTTGTTGTCAAGCTTGATGTAGCGACGTTATTCCTGTGTTTAGAGCTGATGCTTCTGTCCAATAAAGACTTAAGTCGTAATAGACTAATAGATTCCATTCAGCAGTTCATATGGTTACTGTGCCCAAATTTTCAAAGTGAATACCCAATTTCGACCCAAACCTTTTATTCTAAATTGGTGACCTTATTACTATTGGCAATATCAGTAATAGTGTAAGTAATACAGAACAGTACAAATTGGTCAGCAGTTTTCTACGTATTGTCTTGGGCTCTTCATACGACTCTTTTTTATCTTCAATAATTACGTTGTCAGGAGGTATTTCGTGATCAGCTTCAGCCATTGTTGGTTAATCATCTGTCTTTACAGGCAGTACAGCTATTCGATGAATTGGGCGTTTAAAAATGCCTGTCGATGTTTTAACGTCAGCTACTCGGATACGTCCATCTGTACCCTTGTACATTGGGACATTGTCTTCTTTGATTATAATCATATCTCCTAACTGCATGTTGGCAGATTGTGTTCTCCATTTGTTACGCTGTTGCACTTCCATCAAATATTCGTTAGACTAACGTTTCCAGAAATGATGTTTTAACTGGGAAACTAGGTTCCAACGTGACAGTAACGTGTAATTTTCTGGTTATGACCGAGAGTCTACTTGAGTTGTAAGAGCTTCTCCAATTAATAAAAGTGCCTGAGGGCCACAGTGTTTGTTTTCTTCGTGAACCATCACGAACAGTAATTTTGCAAAAGGATCATTGTATGAAATCAGCTTTGTGTGTTTAGCATTGGGTGGAGATAAACTGCTGATTGAAGTAGATTTATCAACTTCAAGTAACAATACCTTGTTACTTCAATTGATTGATTTCTTGATCAAAATCACTACCTTGAATGTGACATATTATAGTGATTAATGCTGCTTCCAATTCGCTAGCACTAGGTGCCATATGTATGGTACGTGACTCCTTTGATATCCTTGTGTTGTTAGTGAATCTAAAAACATATGCTACATCCTTTGCAACGTCTTGAATGAATTCTTCTGCTGAATCCTGCATATGAAATCTGCGTCATTGCATTGAGTTGCTACAGCTACAACCTTTTTCTTCTCCAGATCAACTGGAACTTGTAATGATGACGTAAACCTTGGTGGCCATACTTCCTGTCTTTCATGCAAGAAGAACGGGCATTAAAATCAAAGTGCACATGTTGACAACGCCCTTTCTGAAAGTCCTCTTGATAACACATCAGCTGGGTTGTCCTTTGACCTAACATGTCGCCACTGCTCAGACAGAGTTAATGTTTGAATTCTTGCTACCCTGTTAGCTACAAATGTTTGAAATGTAGAGAAATCTGAATTGATCCAAGATAACACAATTTCTGAATCAGTCCACAAAAATATCGCCTGCTCCTTCGCCTGAAGATCACTTTTGACTCTCGCTGAAAGTTCCACAGCTAGGACTGTCGCACACAGCACTAGTTGTGGTAGCGTCTGTTTTCTGAGTGGTGCTACTCTTGACTTTGCACATAATAGCCGCTCTATTATTCTGCCATCCTTTAAAATTGCTCTGACATATGCTGCAGCACCAAACGTCTTTTCAGATGCGTCAGCAAAAGTGTTTTAGCTGCGTTGATGATGGAACTTCGCCTCTGAAGATATGTCTTGCCACTTGAAGGTTTTCAAGAGTTCTTAACTTTTCTCTAAATGTTGACCATGTTGTATGAAGATCTGTAGGAAGTGGTTCATCCCAAGATAAATTCAAGTGCCATAAATGTTGTATGAAAATCTTCGCCTACACTATTACTGGAGCTAATAAACCAAGTGGGTCGAACAGTCTAGCTAAATCAGAACTAAGGACTCTGTTCGTGATTATCCCTTCAGTAACCATTTTGACCTTAATTCCAAATAAATCCGCTTTGGGCAAGTCCCATAAGTAAATGTGTTGAGCTGATAATAACGAATTGTTGAATTTGGACTGCTTCTCTAAATGATAAGTTGGTAGCGCCGATCTTCAGGATCTTTCAAAACTTAACGAAACATTTTCTCGATATCTGTAGTGAAAACAAAACGTGGTCGTCTAAAATGGAGCAAAATTGAAAGGAGTTCGCTTAGAACTGTCGGTCCGTTAAACATTATATCATTTAGTGAGTGTCCAGATGTAGTTTTAGTTAATGCATCAAACACCACTCGAAGTTTGGTAGTGGTGCTATCTGGTGCTATCTGATGATGAATGAAATATCTTGGAGTTAAAATTGAGTCCAGATTTACCTCAGTCATGTGACCCAATCGCTCATACTCTTCCATAAGCTGCGCATATTGTTTCCGCAATACATCATTTTTTGCTAGTCGTCATTAAAGACTGACGAACCTTCTCCAAGCTATTTCTTGAGATTCCCCTAACGCCAATGTGTTTTCCAGAAATGGCCGCCTTACTACAAAACGTCCTTCTTTATTTGTATGAACGTTCTGAACCGTTGGCAATGGCAGTGCGGAACGCATATTTGTTTTTGCTGCTGCTGATTGTTTGTTTTGTTGTTGTTCCAATATTATAGAGAGCTTTATCAAGCATTGTTGCACCAAATCTTCAATTTGGTAATATTCTTCTTAGTTAAACCCAGACGCCAGTGAATTTTCCAAGCTTTCCCACAGTCAATCATGCAAATATCCCAGCTGGTTCCACTGTTGCATGATCGTATTTGATTTAACTTCGTAATATTGTATTGGCTGTATGCCTTGGCTCTCCAACAAACTCTTTACTAATCTTTTTAGAGCTGCCATTCGAGCAGATTTTTTTCATTATTAAACTATTTGGTTGCTGGCACCTTCATCTGTTGCTTTGATTCGAAGGGCTTCTCTCTTGAATATTTCAATATATTCATTTGTTACTTCTTTTATTTTATCATAGTAACCAGATTTGAAATACTCATTATCTGTTGATTGTTCGATGAGTGTTCTTAATGTTGTATCATTGCGTTCAAATCGATTCCAAGCAACATTAAGCCGTCGTAACCTTTCATTGTAGTATGTGGCTGATTGTTTACGTTCAGCCGAATCTTTCTTGAAATTTCTAACGATTCGCTGAGTTTCTTCGCCCGTGTCTGTTTGGGTGTCTAGGATTTCATTGCCATCGTTGAAAAATGTTTGATCTGGAGCCCTTGCTAAATGTACTTCAACTGTACCTCAAAAGGTATTTCAAATGCTGCTGATTATTGACTGCTATGTTTACTGCTGACCGCTGCTGCTTCAGGCCAGTCCAGTGCTGCTGTCCTTTTCACGGGGTCACCAAAAATGTTTGATCAAAACGTTGGAATCAACTGTTTGCAAGTACTGAACACTTCAGTCCAGTACTTATGTTGATTCTACCAACTTAAAAAAACCACTGAATACTTGAATCCAGTGATTTCGACGATTGTATTCAAAATCCTAAACACTGAATAGTTAAATCCAGTGATTAGGCACTTATGTGACGTAAATATAGTACTTGAACTAAATTTACAAAACTAATAGAACAAATAAAAGAATCAATGGTGAATGTGGCTTCGCATCAATTCAATTGTCAAAAATTCAATTTGCATCAAAGAGAGACTTTTTACATTCATGTTATGAGCAATTGTTTTGCAAATTTGCTTAAACATGCGAACGCAGTATCAAGAACCGTCTCGAAGACAATAGGGGTATTCTGGCAACAGATTAGTTGCTTAGCAGACTAAAAAACTTCATGTAAAAAAATTAGCATTTTGATGATAATATGTTGCGTGAATAACCCAAAATGCGTAATCTGATTAGTTTGTTGTATGCAAATGCCTTGGCAGCACTCGCATCAACAGTAAAAGCGAAACGTATGTTAACAGTGAAATACTCAAATATTCCAAAATTTTAATATCATTTAAATTTATCCTATAACTAAAATTGCAAACGTGTCATATATCAAGCAATAAAATATTCAATTTCATACTTTTTAATTATATTTTAATCCTTCAAAATTATAGTTTTACTGAATTTTATATATTAATTTACGATATTTTTTAATTTTCTTTTTAAGACTAATAATCAAATTTTCGCTAATCTGAGAATCTCAGAATTAATAGATTCTCTGCTGAATTTTTTTTTTATGCAAATTTTCGTTGCAATAATCTGCTAAGCAACTAATCTGTAGCCTGAATACCCCTAATGTCTTCAAGGACCACCTTTTCTACTGCGTATTAAGGAATCAAAATGATCAAAATGATCCAAATGAAAATATATGTTTTATGAATTAGTAATTAGTAATTCGACTGTCATTTCGACTGTCATTGGCTATTCAAATTTTCGTAAAGAAAATTGTGTTTAATGTAATCATATTACAAGCAATGCAGGCGAAAGCTGATTTCATAAATCATGTTTTAATCAAGAAAGTTATATTTTACTGTCACATCTGATATACTTTATTTATGATAATATCCATTGCTATACTTAATTGGAAATATAAACACAGACGCGAAATTTTTATTTAATTTAAAAATGACAAAAATATAGTAAAAAAACTATGAAAACTAGGTTTATTTTGATATATAACACACCACTAAAATTATTTTTTATTTGTATTTTAAATCTTTAAGAATTTTAATGAAATATATATTTCTGTAATGTTTTTCAGTCGTCGGTGTTTTTGTTACTTTCGTTTAATTTCGCTTATGGCTTAGATAGTAATTTATATAAATCGAGTGAAAAAACTGTATATCCGAAAAAGGCAACAACATTGAAAAAACGTCCGACGAAGGCACTAGCAAATACAAATACAACGTTGCCGACTAAAATACAAAAGTCAAACAAAAACATTGTCGAAGCGTTCAAGGATTTGTCTGAAGACGATTTAGAATTTATTAATGAATTGGATAAGCAGTTCAAAGTTCATGGTAATAAAATAAAAATCAAGATTGAACACGACACTGCGGTTACTAAAAACTTGAAACGGACCATAGACGGAGAATTGGGGTAAGAAGAAAAAAAATTTTGAAATGATTATGTGATAATAAATTTTTTACAGTTATGGCTTCAATTATAATGGTTACGAATACAGTCGGCCAAAGTTTATGTTTTACCCATACTCACAAAATGATATACCCAGAAGTACTCCGAACTATTACCCAAACTACGACAAGACTAGTGTAACAATTGAGCCATCCTATTCATATGAATTAAAACCACAAACGTATGAAGCGGTCGACAATGACCACGCTCAAATCGATTTACCTCATCAACACGTTCACCAACAACAACAACAGTCTCAACAACAATATGAGGAGCCCATCATAGTGTTGCGTATTCCTGGTCCAACGAAATATGCTTCACATATACAGGCGCTTTTGCAACAGTACTTAGAAATACGTGCAGCTCAATATTTACACATACTGAAGCAACAAGATTTACATAAAGAACAACCATATAAACAAACTCATTCACAAATCCAATACTATCAACCGCAAGTAAGCCTTCAAGAAGAGGAATTTATACAACCAGTACAACACCATTACCATCAAGCACTAGTTAAGTCTCAATCACAACTTTTGCATTCAACTACTGACCAAACGCCAGAAGATGTATCTGCCCCACAATCTGGTACCTATCCTGACATACATGACGTATATCATACTTACAAAGATCGTCATCAAGCTGAAGAACCAAAACAAATTGTTAATTACTACAAAAAAGGAGCATTTCAGGCTCCAACACCGCAGCTGACGCAGCAGGACAAACTTCCACAATATCTCTACACATCTACTAAGCATTACGCACAAGCCGATAATGTTCATGAATATCCTATGTATGTAATTACTATGTTACCAAAATCAAATTACAATGAAAAGCAAGAACTTGTTTCGCAAGAATATTTGCATCAGCAACCCATTTATATACAAGATGACAAAATAACTGAACACAGGCAAGCACATCAGCAAAATTTGCATATCAGTGAAAATAATCCCCGAAGAACGCATACAAAAATTATATATACAAACGGAAGTGAAAATGCCGGACATGACTACGTGCAATATCCACTACCTTCAGTAAGGCCATTTGAACGCATTGCACCCACATCAAGTGCTCCACACCACCAACAGTACCAGCAGGAATCAGAAGTTAAACACAATAGCGAGGATAACAAGCAACAAGATATTCATGAAAACACTGTCGCAATAACACAGCGTCCGCACAATTACCATGTTCACACCAGGAAAATGAAGCTAAATGGTGGTCACAAACAGGTCACTGCCGTTGTTGATACTCAAGACGACACAAACGAAAAGCTAGAAAAGATACGTAGTTATGTCCAAACGAAATTTGGTGCACAAACTGGTTCAGCTATAGAGTATCAAACAACAGCTTAAACGTTTTAACAATTTTAGACAGAGAAAAACAGAGCGAATATTTTTGTATTACTAACAGATTAAATATATGTAAATTTGTTACAGGTTCATGAGAAGATAGAATTATTATTATATTTAACAAACTCACTTTAAAATAACATTAGTTACAAATATATTTTTAATTTATTGATTACATCCATAAAAATATCAATTAACCGTGATGTAAGTGCAATATATAGCACGTAAGAATATTTGTTATGCATAATAAAACACTATAAAATATTAAAAAACTTTCTAATACTAAATATCTCGAAGTAGGTGCTAAAAGAAACACGTTTTTAATACGTGCGACTAGCGACGTAACATTAGCATGACTTTCTCAGTATTACGTTCCTAGATTAGGTTCTGAAAACAACAAATGTTGTCTCTATAAACAGAATAGTTATCAGAATAGCCTCTACAAACAAAATATAATTTAATAATTAAAAAATAAAATATAAATAATTAATTCAATTATTCTACAGCTGGTTTATGATTTCGTTCTAATATATACACATCAAATAAATTTGTTAACACAACTTTCATAGCAAAGTAACAAAACTTTAGAAAAATGTGCGAACATAAAAAAGTCAAGTACGGCTTTGGGTCAGTTGGTTAAGGTGCGCTGATTCCAGCTTCAGACCACTGATGGTGGGTATTTGGCAATACTCAAAACAGCTGTATGGTCAGCAAAAATTCATTTAATTAAAATAATACAAAACCAATTTTTGTTGTTGTAGTTCACTACTGTTCGAAAAAACCTCTTTATGTTATTTATGTCAATAATATTTTTAGCGTTATCCAAAAAGTTGATATCACAACATACCAAAGTGTTTGCGACGATGTCTGACTGTCTCGTTATCGATTTCCGAAATTTTTGATGACTTTATTTAAAATATCATAACACTTCCTTTCGGAGTCTCGTCTTGATGATTAATTATAATTTTGAATTTTTTATTTTTAAAAAGTTGAAATATTAATATTTAGTGACTGATTTTAATGATCACATAATATTTTTAAACATCTTAAGTAGAATTATCGATGTTATTACTATTGCTTCTGAGTATATTTTATATACCAGCACTAAGACTTAGCATTGTTAATGCTACAAACGTAAAAAACTTCTTTAGTATTCTGTTTCTGTTAATATTCTGTTAGTTTCTGTTTATAGTTTGGTTTTTACACCAGAAGGCGTTACGTTACAGCCACAGCACTCCCCTCTCAATGAGTGCCGAAGGCTGTGGTGAAACTCATCATGATTTATTTTGATCACTTTGCGATGAATTTGTTTATGATTGTTTTAAGTTACTGGAACTGGAATTACTTACTTCAAAGGGTCTTGTTCGGCAAAAGTTACTTTGCGTATCTTATTGCTGGTGCCGTCGTTGCGGTTGGGTTGAGTCGATTTAATTAATACCTCTAAAAATAACGGTTCTGTTGCCTGTTCATTGTTTGCTGCGAAGAACGCTGATTTCAGTTTTTTTATTAAAATGTTTAGCTGTTTCATACCTATTTGATTTTTTAAGCTCCGTTCACTAATCCTTTTGATGATTTTATGCAAACCTGTGAATGGCGGCTGAAGTCGTTTTCTTATATGATCAGCACATAAGAAGATATGAGTGCAGTCTTTTAAACCTTTTTTAACAAAAACAGGTGTTTTTGAGTGTTCCGATGCTTAGGTGAACTTTAATTGTTCCAATCATTTACGAAATTTATTCAAAAAATATTCCTGATTGAGTGGTGCGCTATTGTTGACGAAAAATTCACCAGGTAATCGTAACGCGGTGCCATAAACTTGTTCTGTGCTGTCCTGTCTATGTCTTCTTTTAATGCTGACCTCAAGTTCAGTATAACTGATGAAAGTAACTCCAACCATGTATCTTCGGGTCTGGCTATGAGAACTGTTTTTACCGTGCAATGTAATCTCTCTATCTGGAAAGAACATAGGAGCTGCTTTGATGTATTTGTTCAACTATGGTCTTGCAGCTATATAAATCGTTCTTTCATTTGCTGTTTTCAACGTGCAATGGAATCGCTCTATCTGGAAAGAACATTAGAGCTGCTTTAATGTGTTTGTTGAACTTTGCTCTAGCAGCTGTATACATAGTGCTTCCATTTGCGATGAATTTTCTCTCAATTAAATCTCTAGCGGAATCGACATTGTTGTGAAATTCTCCTTCATTTCCGTTTTCATTTGCAAAATTGCTGTTAAGTTCACTGATCTCATTTGTTTAAGAACCAATATCGCATTCGTATATAAATGAAATGAAGAACTTTCTTCTTTCGATTTTATCTCTTTCTGGAACTTCGAAATCAAATTCATCTACTTTTATATCCTCTGCCTCCATTGCTTCAATTAGTCGGTTTTTTAAATTTACCTTTGAAATTTACCTTATGTGCTTCAAACCATTCCTTAATTACTGACTTTTTAAATCAGCAAACAACCTATTATTGACAGTTTCACTTCTAACACCAACTGTAACGAATTTGTTTATTAAAATGCAATTGTTAGGAATTTCTCTTTATTATTTCGGATCGTTTCACATAATTGTCCAGATCACGCTGATTTTCCACACTATCATTAATATCATATTTTATTAGTTTTATTTCTGACATTTTACTTCGATTTTCTTCTTACCATGTAGTTATCATTTATTTAGTCTTACAACCAAGTTCGTCACAATAAGTCTGTTCCACGAGCTACTTGCAGCAAAACTCAAGTAAAACACAAGTAAAGTACAAACTGAGAGCGTAACAAATGAAATGCCAAATTACACTCTTTACACAGATTTTTATGGATCAGCTTTGTGTAAAATCTGATGAGAACATCAGTGCCGTAAAAATAAACAATAAAAAAAACATAAATTTCGCGAGAAATAAAATGTACGAGTAAAGTCTGTACAGCATTTTCAAATTTTGAGAGGAATGATATGCTCTCTCAGATCCATTACTTTACTCGAAAATTTGCTGGTGGAATGCACTTGTGTATATACAGTGTTATTCAAAGTCACTACTAGTAGCTCGTGGAACCGACCTAATATAAGCTATGAAAACATGAGCGACTTAGAAGCTATTATGAAACAACTCAAAGCTGGGAAAACTTCTGACACTCGAATTAAAAAAATGATAAAACAAACTTTTAAAAAGATCGAATTGGAATGCTGGCCTGTTTTAAACAAGCCTTATTGAAATCCAAAAATTAAATGAAAACGATACAGGAAGAACAGAAACTGAAGATCTATGTATATCAAATGTTTTACAACTGGAAGCCAGCAAAAAGTTATTGTCAAAATTAAAAAATTCAATGACTTACTTGGCTGTTTAGAACCGCAACCGAAGGATACGATGCGTTCATTTCGTGTCACTATCTAAATGCTTTAAAACGACTGGAGGAACGGTACGGAAATTCGACACTAATTTTTCCCGAATTTATTGCTAATTTGTATGATTCACAATACATGCGCAATCCATCAGCAATCATTTACACAGTTTGACAGACACTACATTTACTAATTATAGTTCTCTTCGTTCGCTTGGCAGCACAGATGCAACGCGCTTCTGATCCACTTGATCACTAAAAAATTTCATACCGAAACATGTCAAGAAAACATTGATTTAGCATATTTAACAACTTGGAACGACTTTTGTAGTATACTAGAGAGGCATTATAAATTTCTGGAATCATTGGATCTTCTAAACGAGCAAATTATAGCAATAAGTGTAGTGCAAAACAAGTAAATACACTGTCATCGTTCCACAAATAACGCAAGGTATGCTTGCTATGTAAATGTTATGATCATCATTGATTAAGTGGACGGAATTCTTTCAAGACTATGACAGCGCTCATTCGTTTTAATTGTCTTTCTGAAGGTAGCGCTGTATTTAAATATACTTCAAAGAATCGGTGTAAAATATGCAAAAAATCGCATCATATATTACTGCATAGAGCAAACGAAAATAATAAGGAAGCTAAAGCAACAACGCGTTCACCGATACAAACTTTAACTACTGTATCACAGAAAGTATCACTGTATCACCAACGATTCAAGAATCAGTGTACACATCTTACATCAACGCTCATGTCATCAGTTACAGTGATCTAAGCAAGAGCGGTTATTCTACTTCAATATGACACAGGACGATAGAAAACTTGTAAATATAGTTACAGAAAGCCTTGCTAAAATTTTCAGTCTTCCGAAATAAAAGAAATCCACAAATATAGTCGCGGCAGGTGAATCATTATCCAGAATCAAATTCACTATAAATCTTCCTATCACCAATCGCGACTCCGGATATCAACCCGAAATAAACATTGATGTGCCCAATTGAGACATACCGTCTATTAATTTAGCTGATGACAACTTTGAACAGCTCAGAGTATAGACAATCTATTAGGCGCTTTTAATGTTCTTAAAATTATGAAATCACAACAACTTGTGTGAAAAAATTAACACAAAAAAGCTTGCGTTAAGTTCAGAACATCAAATGTGTGAGCAAACATCAAATGTGTGAGCAAGCGTTCGATTTAACAATCAAGATTCGACCTGATGGACGGTTGAAGGTACTATTGCCGTTTAAAGAGAATCCCTCTGTTTTAAGTCCCATGATTTCGCCTTGCAACGGTTCCTTTCACTATATTCTTGCAGAATACGAGAAGTTAGGCTATATGACAAAAACTCAAAATACCAACTCCGACTCTCCACATTACTTTATACCACATCAAAGTGTTTTGCGCATGAACAGTACAACTACGAAAATAAGAGTTGATTTAAGAGTTGTTTAAGAGTTGATAAAACCTTAAATGACATTTTAGTTGTCAGTCTGATTATACATACAAGACGGGTTGTTTGTGTTACTACTTCGTTTCCGTTTTAATCAATTTACATTATCCGCAGACATTGTTAAAATGTATAGAATGGTATATATTTATCCTGAACACAGATTTCAACAAATTCTACGTAGAACAAGCGACAAAGAGCCAGTGCATATAAGTGTTAAACACACGGCATGTCAGCGTTACAATTTCTCGCCATTCGAAGTTCACACCACTTATCAG